TATGGCTGTGAATATTGATAATTATCGTTTAAAACAGCAAGCTTATGCACTGGGAAGACAAATAATAACAGTGTTTGAAATAAAATTTAGTAGAAACAAAACAGCTATTTTGACACAATTAGAGGTTTAACTTAGGCGTTATTCATTTTTAAAGTTTATAAAAGTAGTATACTGAACTGAGCTAAGACATGTGTTACTTTCTGTCGTATAATACTAACACTGACTTTTTATCCACAGATACTTCAAGGCCCCTTACTCAGAGTTTGGAAAAAAATTACATTTCGAAAGTCATTGTAAGAACTTGCGTTTTAGAATAGATTGTAAAAAGAAATATATGTGTGTTTACTAATTAAAGACTTATTGACATCTATTGGCCTGATAATCCATACGAATTTCTAATTTTTTTATACTAATCTAATGTTTTATACATCCACAAAATACTTAACATCTGAACATCAATTCCAGCAGTAATAACATTCAAAGTATTCTTAAAATAATATTATACATGCATACAGCGTTAGCTATTCAGTTAGCTAATGGAGCGCCAGAAATAACATCATGATCGTACTAGAATGAAAGCTCCGAAACGATCTTTCTGGTTTCTAGCTGAAGAGCTGGCATTTTATATATGAGCTTATTTTAGAATTTGATAGATAAAACAATAACCTTTTGAAACGTAGTGGTTAATCGTCTTTGAAGAAGTAATCAAATTTATTAGACAAGAAAATTGTTTGTATTGTTGATACATACATTAGCATATATTCACTTGGTCAAACCATGGATGGCATCATCAAAAAAATCGATCACCAACTCGGTCATTTTGTTATGCCATTATTTGGTTCATGAACCGTGTACGAATACTTTTGACTATAAATTTCTGTTTGTAAAACCGGATTTCCAAGCCAGTTTTCAAATCATCGATGTTTTCTGATCGTGATTTTGTGTGCAAACCGAAAAGAAATTGGCTCTTCTCGAATTAGTTTCTGATGACATAGAAAATCGGTAAAACACAGCTGTTTTGCACTCCTTCCTGCCTTTGTCAAACAAGTGTTTTTTTACACTGTCTCGCCTTAAAGGTCCGGGCAAAAATATTCAGTGCTAAAAAGATACATTTTACATCTGAAGCATGTCAAAACTTCCAAAAAGAAATAGATCGTCACAACAAAATTTAGTGCGTCGCGTTCTAGAGACTCGATCATCTATGGAGCCGTGTTGATCTCAAATGATCCACCTGTTTACTAACGCTTCACAAAGAACAATCTGCAGAAGAAGGAAAAGTTTTAATTAGCAGTTCCACATGATTGAATCATGTTTTACTCTGACTTTTCTTCGAGAACATGATACGGTCAGTTTGTGAAGTTTTCTCGATCATACTGAACTTTCACTAGGCTATAATTTTCATCTAAAAAGTGTTTCGTGAGAAAGATGATTATGAAGCCTTTTTAACACAACACTCAGAATGATTACAGAAAACATTTATCTCGCCATAATTACACACTGGCTCACTGGATCTACGATATCCTTATTGAGTAAATTACTAACTTTTCTCATGATAATCTATTTTGAAAAAGTGAAAAATAGCACGTATAAAGTCAGTTACAAATGATCTGCACACCATCTTAAGAAAATAAATCTTTGATATAACCGAAATTGTCTTGTTATATATATGTTTAGTTTTTAAAACAAAAGTAACGAAACATCTTCAACCAAACACGTGCCTCCGCATAAATCTTAATTAGGCTATATCCTTCGTTTTTAAACGATGTTGGTGCTAAGTGATGAATAACTATTAATCCTCAGGATTGATGGAACAACAATTGATTGAACAAGAAGGTTTCTTGTAATCGTTGTTGTCGATGATAACGATTACGGCAACAAATTAAGTAATAACAAGTATTAGAAATAGGGAAAGACCTAAGCAATCAAAATTAATATCAGGTATAGCTACGAAACGTAAACCAGTTGTCGAAAATACTGCTGTTGTCAATGACATTCTTTTTGTTGTTAGTAGAACAGACTTTCCGCTAGGAAAGCTAGACTAGACTCTTGAATCCGAGCATAACCGACAAAAATTCATTCAGGACAATACAAACAGAACTAAAGTTTACCGATGTTCATAAGTGTGAGCATTAAAATCTACTTGAAGCAATTAATTCTACTCAACTGATTAATTAATAGTGTCGTGCTCATCGGCTAAGATGGTGACAGCCGAGGAACCGCTAAAATATATTTGAAGAATTTCGAAATGATTAATTTCGTATGCCCTAATCAGAATCTTTGTTAACAGGTTTGAGTTTTCGACGAAAATCTTACACTTTATTTTTCTGCTTCATATGTGGGTTGTTTTCTACTGTAACACTACAGTTCAAGGTCTACAGTATATTTACATTTTTGGTGAATTCATTTTGTATTCGAAATGACCTCTCCTTCTCTTTGTTGTGAAAAATTTTGTTAACTACAGCAAAGTTTCCAAACCTTTTCAAGAACTTAATCAAGATTTTTCAACCTAAGTTAGGTTTAGATTCTAAAACAAATATGTTCAAGACCTTGACTAAGATTTCTGCAAACAGATTTCTCACGAAAATTCAGTCAGGATCTTGACAAGACCCGTTCATGGTTCTTTAAGAGCGAGAAATTTGACTAATCTTAGGCTATGTTCACACTACGAGTTAAGCAGCTTAATTTTTTCGGCTTAAGGATTCTGATTGGTGTCTTAACTTTTTCTTCGTAAAGGCACCAATCAGAATCCTTAAGCCGAAAAAATTAAGCTGCTTAACTCGTAGTGTGAACATAGCCTTAAGCAAATAGAAACTTTTGTGCAAAATAGATTAATAGATGGTTATTGATTGAAATGGCGAGATTTCAACTTGGAATTTTCGTATCCAACACGAATAAGTTGAGGAAGACAGGTAAAAAAAGCTTGTTTCATTCTTTCTGATTGTTACATGCAAAGTAAGAAAAAGAAGAATGCCCCCTGCCAGGATCGAACTGGCGATCTCTGGTTTACTAGACCAGCGCTCTACCACTGAGCCAAGAGGGCTTATATACCAATCGGCTAGGATCAGTACACAAGTCAATATTCTTGATGCTTTTGTTGTACGATTCTGGTTTCCGACCTAAATGGGTTAGGATTCTTGCTTATTTTTTTGTTTTTACGTCAGCGTCGTTGTTCTTGTATTTCAAATATTGCTTGTCTTCGATAACTCCATATCGATTTAATCCTAAATACTAGTCCATTGAGCGTAACTATGCAGTTCGGCCTGGAGACGATAGAATCCTTAATAATGGGACAAAAAATCTTTCATTATTTTGGATGCATAACGATGAATCACCGGTTAGCTGCAAAAAAAATTTTCGGCCCATTCATTCTTTCTGATGAAAGGGGAAGGATATATACAAGGATATAGTCTGTTGCGTTTGCTAAAAGGAAGTCGATCAAACATGCCAACAAACTTCTCTGAAAACAAACGCACCACACTATAACGAAACACCGCAAGCGGTTCGCAGAAGAGTCGGGGTCCTCTTCGCGAAAGAGACATTCGTCTTATAGTCGGTGATTCCGTACGTTCTATTTTATATATAAATAGTTATTTGCTGTATAATGACGGGTATCGATTTCTGCTAGAAAATGGACTAATATGATTTTGAGTGAGAATGATCAGAAATGCTTCTCTTTTCACATCCCAACACTTCTGACTTTCTAAAATTTCTTCTGATCCTCATGATAGAAACTTTCACATCAATTTTGGTGGCCATTTCAACAAATACCACAACATTTTCTTCCAACATCTTCTTGTCTGATGTCAAAGTCTTTTACCAAAACTCATATGTAAAAAGATAGAATTTTTCGGGCTTCAAAATGAGCTGTAAATAAGTCTTTCAAAAGTGTGCCCACATGGGTCAATAATCGCAATACTTGGTCGATACAATGATTTTCACTTGTCTTCGTGCTTTAAACACACCTTTAGTCATTTTTCTGCCATAATGAAAAATTATATATTTTTCAACAACATACCATTTAGCCCTTGCAATTCTTTACAAAGAGCTGGTCTGAATACCTAGACGGGTGGGGCCAATCATTAAAGATATGCAAAAGAAGCGTTTGGCTGATATCAATGCAGCACAGTGTGTCATAATCACAAGAACTCATTTGTTTTTGATTTTTTGGTAGAAGTAGGAACCAGTCTGAATACTGTTTTGAATTAGAGATGTGCACGGGTACCATTTTTGTGCCCGTATCTGACCCGAACCGACAAATTTGTATCCGTACCTGACCCGTAATCGACTTATACCTAAACATTTTCTCCTTTTTGTTTTCCAGCTAAAAACTTTTGTTTTTCGGCTGAAGATGTCAAGTTATCATTACGTTCTCAAGTAATTCTATTTTAAACCTTCATGTATGTTAGCTAAATTTCTGTGTTTTTTCACTAAAATTTTGTGGGTTTTCTACTCGAACCTTCCGGTTTTCGGGGAAGTTAAATAAGAATAGAATCCATACCCGTAACTGCTCTACCCGTACCCGACCCGTACCCGACAACTTCGTACCCGTACCCAATCTTCGGGTCGGGTACGGGTCGGGTTGCACATCTCTACTCTTCAACTATGTAATGCTTCGGCGCATTAGGAGGAAGAGTTGTCAGGTATATTCACTTAAATAAAATAGCTTAAACCAATCATTTGAACATAGACCGTTCTTTTTCTTCTAAAATTATTTCTTTTTTTTCTTCCATCACCCATCGCTTTAATGCTGTTATTTTCTTTTACCATACAAATTTTGCACTCAAAGATCTCTTAACAACGTCACTGTATTTTTTATTAAATAAAATTTTTTTCTTTTTAAGCTTTTCTAATTTTCGAAAGAAACAAGCACACTATGTTGTTTCGACACACTTTTTCGTTTGTTTTTTACACTGAGAAAAGAAAATGCTCTTACTAAAATGAAATTACTTTAAAGTGAATTAAGCATACGAATGTGACTTGTTAAACTATTAATAGTAAATATGTCATCATCAGATTATTGGACATTTAATAGATATATTGGTGCTAATGTTGGAATTGGACTTGGTTCGGTTGCCCTAACATTTCTTGTTATGCTTCTTTTAATCCGATTTTTCAATAATCTCTTTTATCTTATTGTCGAAAAAATATTTGGTATTAAACGGTATTATTTAGATATCAAGGTTAATAGTGAAGCCAAACAAAAAACTCAGATACTCAATTTATACGGTAAACATATTGATTTAGCCGATCGTTCTCGTATCAACCGATATATGTTATTTATCATCACTACTACGGCGATCTCTGCTGTATTAATTGTTTTTTTCGATGGATGCCTATTGGCTGCTGTCAGTATCTATCCTAACACTACTTGTCCATATTTTGGTACAATGGACTGCTTCGTCTATCAATCTGATGATAATTCTCCCTCTGTAAAATTTGAATGTTCATCAGGTAATTTAGCCAATTTTAGTGATTCAAGTGCCTGGTGTTATAGGTGGATTGCTTTAGATCAAACAACAACTTCAATTGTTAACCAAATTGGTATATGTACGGGATTACTGACAGCATACGGTGCTTTTCTTCAAATATTTTTTCAATTACTTGTTCCAATTTTTCGTGAACATAAAGGTATTGCATCGGGCATGAGACGAATAGCTGAGCCAATAGGAATTAACGCATATAGACGAATTCGTTTTAATCCATTTCAAAAATTTGAACATCCAAAATGGGTAATTGCGTTTTTTATTCTGTACATTCTTTTTACTGGTGCAGTGATAGGAGCCATTGTTTTACTTTCAAAGTTCAAAAAAAGTATATCTGTTCTGACTTATATTATATTAGCATCGTTATCTATAATTTCGTACTTTTCAGTTCTCTTAGCAGCGGTTGAGGATCCGATACAAGCGCGTGGTGATGATGACAAATCTGTTACTGTATGTCAAATTCCTGATGAAGTAAAATCATCATCCGAGAAGAAAATAGACAAACAGCTCAATTCCAATAAAATTGCACCAATTTTAAATGCACTGGGTTTCAAAAAAGATAACTCTAGTTAAAATTCATATGCTTGACTCCTTGAACCTTGTTTATTTAGACCGATAAATAAAACAGACGAAACTATCCACACATTTTATGCGTTTCTGCTAAAATTCGAAAGGGCAACTGTACAGCAGCGATGTATTATAATGGTAGGGTCCCATCAGATTCAATCGTGTAATAAACTAGCACTTCATACACCTTAAAAATAAAGTGATTTCGAGAGAAGTCATGTGAATCGGAGCGTGATATACGAAAAAACGTGTCGATGTAAGTTTACACATTTCAAGCCTATATTTCATCATGTACCACTATACCAAGAAACTAGTGAGATAAAGGTATGATAGCACATCAGTTTTGCAACCAAACGCCACAGTTCTAGAGAACTACGGAATGATTGCAAGCCAAATGTACGGTTTCAGAAAAAAATGGCCATTTGTAGTGTCTCTTTGCTAATTTGTTACTGAATCTTGGACTTCAAGGGTCACCAATCGGCTGTATTTTATTTTTGATTTATATAGATAATTTTGGCGAGGACATGGATTGCACAATTAGGTTGTTTGCAGATGATACCACAATGTATCAGAGTAACCAGAATCGACATCAATTAGTTAATGATATGAACAGCGATCTAATAAAAGCGCCTAGATGGTTAGTAAAATGACAATTGGCAAGTGCTGGTAAATGTTTATTTATACCATTTACAAGAAAGTCTAATTTTATAATAAATTCCATTCTTTTTCACGCAAAAATATTGAATTCTGTCTTAGAACATTAACTTTCAGGCGTTATGCTATCAAATGATTTTAGTCAGAAAGCACATATAAAATACATTTATACAAAATGTTCTAAAACATTAAATATGATGAATCCATTTAAATATAAATTTTCAACAGTAAGTAAATTGATACTAGCAAAAACAACACATCAGTGGTCCACACATCATCAAAATGGTTCTATTACACAACGTATATACACTCAACAACATATTTTCGAAAAGAGTTTTTTCTGGCGATAATCTTAGAATCGAATAATTTAAAACACAATATAAAAGAATCGCAAAATCTCTCCCTTTTTCTTAAATCTCTTCAAAGCTGAACTAAATATTGATTTACACTTATCTGTTTATTAAACATATCATGCTGCACGTAAAGCTGATATTATTCATTATCAGTTGAGAACAGAATTTTCTCAATTCAATTTAGATCTATTTACAAAAAATCTATCAAATACTAAATTGTATGTTTGTGGTAGTATTGAATCGAGAAAGCATTTTTACTCCAATGCGCTTGTTACACACGATATTGAATACGTCTCTATAAGAAGCTTAAACTGATACTGAACGGCAGCTCCCTGTGTATGGATCTACCATTCTTGAATGTATCGCTTAATAAAGATATGTATTTACTTGTTGCTAAATCTATGATTGAATATATTGTCAAATCTCAACGCTATGAGGGTCTTGAAAATAGCTAAACCAGGAAAACAAACTTGTGCTCCCTAGTGTATTTTTATCTCGTTTCGGCCTGTCTATAATTACCAGATTTTAAACTCTGCAACAGACTTAACGTTCTTAGAGATACGCCCTCTCTTATTTGTGCCTGTTGACAAAGGACGAAAAAGAAAGAAAAAGAAAGTTGATGTACAATGCACGTAATGCAAACTTAAAGTGAAACTTATTTTTGGTTATATTATACATATTCTGAATTGCCAGACGACGCTGAATGCGAATATCACCTTTTAAGCCTCGAGAAACCCTTTCTTCATTGAGAAAAATCGGAAACATTGAAAATACCGGAAAAGTATCAAAATTTTTCGTTTTGAGAAAAGCTCTGAATTTTTTTGTTAAGAGGATCTACGAATTTTTCCTTATCATTTTCAAACTCCTTATTAAAAACGGAGTTTAGACGCCTTATGCGCGAGTCCATGTGCCCTAATACAGATCTTTTCTAGGTTCCGGAACCTGTTGCACTCAAAATTCGAGAGCCTTTGTTCAAAAACCTATCTAGCTTTTTGTGTGAAGATCTAGAGCTTTGATTCGACCACCATCAAATTGGCCAGTACTTCAGCTTCAAAAGTACAGTTCGTTTTTTAAAATATTATTTTTCCTTGCTCAGAAAATTCATTTTTTCTAAATCAGAGGCGAAAAACTAGGAATTTTGCCGGTATTTCTTAATTTTCTCGATCATAATTAAACTTCTGAGCAATACAAATATCATATTCAGAATCGAGATCAAAAACTGAGTTGCGTGATGTGTATTTCTATCTTATCCGACTACTTTCATTTTTTTCGAATTTTCGCATTGAAAAATTACCGAGATTGTCATCCAAAAAGTGAAAATCAACTAAAAGTTGCGAAATATACACTATGCGACTAAGTTTTTGATCCCGATTTTAAATATGATATTTGTATTGCTCAGAAGTTTAGTTATGATTAAGAAAATTGAGAAATACCGGCAAAATTCCTAGTTTTTCGCCTCTGATTTAGAAAAAATGAATTTTCTGAGCAAGGAAAAATAATTTTTAAAAAACGAACTGTACTTTTGAAGCTGAAGTACTGGCCAATTTGATGGTGGTCGAATCAAAACTCTAGGTCTTCACATCCAAGCCGAATTTTTACCACAGATACTTCTATCTTAGGGTGTGCATTTTTTTCTTGAAAAATATGCTTTATATCTCGAAGTAGTCGATGAAATTACTAAAAATTCTACGTAAAAAATTGGCTGATGATCTTAAACATCGTCTCATGATGAAAGTTGAAATTGAAAACACTTGTAAAAGGTTTAGAAACTGTGATCAAGTACGAACTAACTGTGGCAAAAATGTCTTTAAATCTGTAACTTGGGCGCGCATTTGAATCGGATAGTCTTCCTTCAGGAGAGGTTCAGTTTGCAAACCTATCTAGTTGTTTGTGTTTAGAGATAGATCCTTGATTCTTATCCCATTCGAACCGCCTCCAGGCGCGCTACAAAAGTCTAACTTTTGTTTTTCAAAATCTTTTTCTCTTGGCGAGAAAATAATATTTCTTTGAAAACATAATACAAACGGCTGGGGTATTTTTCACCAACTCTTTGAAAACTCAACCAAACTCGTCCAAATTAACTTACACTATGTAAAAAATGCTACTGAATCTGACACAAGTCATAGTGAGAGTATTTGGTCCGCGAACGGGAGGTTTGACCCGACCCCTACTAAAGGAAATTTCAAGCTTTAGTTGCCTTTCACCTATACGGATCGTAGTCTGCATTTCCGTCTATATTCTCTACTGTCAATATCAGCCTAACTGAAAGAAAACACAACAATAAAAAAAATAAAGTAAAGAAAAGAAAATCAAAATTCAAAACAAAGTCAATCATTAATTTTGGCATTAGTTATTTTTCTGTGCGATTGTACTGTTCCTTTACAAAGAGAGTTGAAAAACATCCGCAGCACCTCTTCATACGTCTGCCCCTGATCATAAGGTTTCAATGTCTGCCAAAAGCGTCACTGTAATTTCAAATTTATTTCATATCTTCGAAATATTTACGTGCATCTTTGATCAATGTCAGCATTAATTGAAAATTTCCACCAAAACCCACCAAAGCCCCTCAACAGCCGACATTTTACAGTGATATTTTGGTAAGAAAATTATTTTAATACCATAAGAATTTGCTGGTTGTTCCAGCTTAGTAGTCTAATAAAAATTAAAAAAAAGAGAGAGTAAGGAAACGAAGGGAGGAAAAAACCAGCTCACTAGAATCACTAATTACTCTTCGAAATGCAAGATGTGAAGACATTTTTTCTTTCAATGCATTTAATTCTAATTTATCCACATTTTTCAAACCCAATTCACGACCAAGAAATGCAATGACCAGAAATCCTTTGGAACAACCTCCTTTGATATTTGCTGGACGATAACGGCTTAATTCCTGAAGTTTATTATTTTCATCATGCCGTTCGAGATAGTCTACTGGACAACGTGTTCCTTCTCCTTTTCCGAAGTCATTTATAGAATACAGTTTAGTTGTATGTGTTGTCACTAATATCTCGAATTTACGACCTTTATATCTAAAACATTCGGAGAAAAGTGAGTTAAATAATTGTTAGTATGAAGATAACGCTCCCTTTATGACTTATATCAGATTCAGCATCATTTTTTTCTTAGTGTAAGTTAATTTGGACGAGTTTGGTTGAGTTTTCAAAGAGTTGGTGAAAAATACCCCAGCCGTTTGTATTATGTTTTCAAAGAAATATTATTTTCTCGCCAAGAGAAAAAGATTTTGAAAAACAAAAGTTAGACTTTTGTAGCGCGCCTGGAGGCGGTTCGAATGGGATAAGAATCAAGGATCTATCTCTTAACCCTTTACACCCGACGGTCCCTTACATGGAACATTGATGTAACAGATTTATACAAAGAACGGATCATCAGGCCATAAGCTAGATTATTACTAATGTAGGACAATAGAGTAGCCTAACTTTTGATTAAAATAGGAAAAAACATTTCCATTTTAATCCGATATTTTTGAATTTTAAAATTGAATGAAGTTCAAAAATGAATTTTATGGTTTTAGATATTTTCTATACTTGTAGTCACTAAATCATTTTCTAATTTTGTAGCTGGTAGTTTTGGTTGTATGGTTGTACTTTATAATGAAATCAAAACAGACATTTTTGTAGCATTCTTCTTTGCGTAAAAGCACTGTGAATTCACTGTCCCTTGGAAGGGACATTCGGATGTAACCACATGAAAAGTGAATTTTTTATCTTAACATCTTGTTAGCGTGGGTCATTCTGTGATCACTCGCTACATACCTGAAGATGGACGAATAAAGAAAAAAAGACGCAACCAACAGTACAGTGCCCATGGGGAAATTTTATCGACTTTTCACGCGTGAGGGACCGTGAAATGTCAGCTTGAACTTTGACGAAATTTTGTAGGTAAAGACAGCAAGTTTCACGACAGTTTGGTCGTGTTGTTGCAACATCAGACGCGTGGCTACGCGTGAAAAATCTTCACACGTGTACTCAAGTGAACAATCTTCACGCGTGATTACGTGTGAAAAAATCTTGACCATGCCGACCATCTAGAGTCAACTGACTATACATAGTCACCATGGTCAAGGTATAATGCAGATTTCATCAATGCAACTTCATCTATAACTTTTTTCACGTGTGACCACTAGTTTCACAAATATCACATTTTATAC